GCAGAGCTTTACTTGCTTATGGTAATCGAGCACGAAAATAATATTGATTTTAATAATTTTAATGCACATGTAATATGAAACCTAAAATGAATAATTAAAAGCTTAATATAAATCTTGAATCTAGCTCAAATCCCGAGCGCCGGATTTGGTTGTCGATGAATTCATCGACAACAATATGAGTTGACGCGCAAAGAGTTGGAAGTTAGAGTCTCATCAGTAAGTGTGTTGGTCCATTTTTTCCTAAAACATGAACTGCTAATAGGCCAGTAATTGATATTGCGTTAGTTGTAAACATAGTCAATAGCATTCTTAATTTAGATAAAAAATAAAGAAATATAGTCATTTTTCACCGTCCCATAATAATCCCTGGTGGACAACTACATTTCACGTATTTCGGTGGCAACATCTGACTCTTCAAGCAGACTGCCTTTCTGTTTGGCCCCAGGTGTTTCCGAGGAAGCTCACTGTCCGCCAACGGCACTGCCTCGTTGGGAGGGGCGTCGGGCGTTGCCCGAGTTTGGAAAACCCTCTCGGCCCTCCCCCTCCAATCCTTTCCGCGTCTCTCTCGACCACATACTTCCTCTGATTGGCTGCAATTTGCTATCGATGGCACAGGAATGGCAATTACGAGGTTTCCAAAATATTTGTCGATATCGCCCGTATATGTTAAATAGTTCAGCAAGTTGTGAATAACGTTTCGCCAGATACGAAAGAGGCCGACCATACATGGAAAACAATGCAAAACGTCTGTTGATCGTTGCTTTCAATAAATAGTCCACAGATAGTTTAGATTTCATGTGATAAATGAACTTTTATTATGGGTTGCGTGTTTACCAAATGTGAAATGCAAATTACAACTCTTCTCATTGATGGAACGACAAATACCTCAATTGTATACAAACACGTAAACATTTTGCAGTGTACTTGGTTGAATGTTTCTGCAGTAACTCATGGTGTTTCTAGTTTATTTGTTTGCTTATTTTCTCAATAAATCTACACGTATAGGAAAGAGTTTACACACCCGAGATTAGAAATGTTTCTGCATATCGATGAGCATTTTATAAGGGAGTAGATAATGAAAAGGTGTTTCGGAAAAGGCAAATAGAAGTAATTTTCTTCTTCATAATATCTTGTGGATCTATTTACAAAATTTGAAGAAAGTTATTTGCCGCATTTTGATAACTAAAGAGACCGATTATCATTCACAAAAGAGTACGTTAATAGTAATATTATTAGCCCGTGTAACATGTCATATAGGGCAAGTGCCTCCTACTTCTTAGTATGTGCATGCTCTGAGTTCACCTTCTTAATTGTGTAATTCATTATTGCTCAGGAGATGCATATAGCAGTGAACAGCCAAATAAATGAAGAAAAATTGTAATAACAGGTTCTTTGTTCATGTTAATGACACTTATCTGTTAATTTTCATTCTGAGAACTCTATTACACATTTGAGAAATCGAGTTCTTCATATAAATTGATATAAATGGCTGTCCAGTTCACTGCGCACTAGCATGTAAATCTCAGTAGCGTCTCCGCAGTTGAATATAAATTTGATAACAAAGCATCGTATGCGGGACTGCAGAAGTTCATAACTGCTATGAAATAAACATATATGCTGGAATAGATAGTAGAGAGAAAACGTCTATTTTGCACCGTTATTACTAATCAAAAGTAACTCATTAAATGCGGTTGACATTTACGAGAATTGTTCGATGTGGTGGGTTCTCCTTCACTCGTTTGAATATGCTGTAGATCATGACATCTTGCGTTACTTAGATGCTAATTATCTGAAAGGATTATTTCATCCGAAAAATTGTATGAAGACGTAAAAGTAGTGGATTGCGCCAAAACTGCATACTGGGTTGCACCGCAAGGACAACTGAAATTAATTCAAATTGCCCCCTCTCAAAAAAATATACCCACTTTGGATATTACACTGGTAAAATATAGAATTATATAAAATCATCATAACAAACATAGTACACGTTTTTAAGAAGCTTTCTGTTAAAGAAATCGCCGCCAATGCCATAGCCTCAGTTAATTATAAACTAGTATATGCAGTATTATGTAAAATCGCTAATTTTATTATTTTCATATGATTGCTTTTATTATTATTTAACGTCAAAAAACAGTTCAAAACTGTGACATACTACGGGGAGAAGTGGAATCTGTGCACAGTTTTTTGAGCTCTGGGATATTTAATATCTTTCTAAGAACAGGATGATCCTAAAAATAGGACAATTTCGTTCTTCGCTGCGGTATTTACTACTTCTCAGGGTTTCCATCATATTGCACATCGTTGCGATACGTAAGGTGTTCGTTTATTTACACGTTATATGACCAAACCTGCGGAATATCTTTGAAGTTGAGGTTTCTGTTTCACACAGATATTTACACAGAGTTTTCAAGATGTATCTCTGTTGATAGACAAATTCAAGTTGAAATCACAAACTCAACATTTAGTGGGTAAAAGTAACTGACTCGTCTTCATTTATTTCGTGGACTTAGGGAGAGGACAAGAGAGAGGACACATGTTGTAACCGTAATTTCACTGCGCAAATACATCGGCCGGTGTTCCCACCCAAGTAGAATCGGTAATCAATGCGAATTTGTGTATTGGCAAATGGGAAATCGATGTTCTCTCATGTTGTCTTCAATACACAATAACCAGAAAAGCATCCAGTTCTCCAATAAATATAGAAATTGACTTTGATGACATTATCTCCACGTCATGATTTTATGAACAGTGATGTCTTATCAGTTAATGTATTATTAGGTAATCCTAGGGTACCCCTATAAATTATTATTTATGACGCACGTTTAAAACCTTTTAATACCGCACATTTGTTTTCAGCACCACTGGGATGATTAAACCTCCCGGGGTTTTATATGTAAATAATAAAAATATAATATATTAATGACAAAGAGTAATATGTCGAAAATGACGGGACAAACTCCCATATTCATAATAATTCATTATTTTGAGTACAACCAAATTTACTTTCTTCAATAGTAATTTTTTTTCTTTTCTATATTTCTAACTTTCCGCCGACCATTAGTTGCCACGCTCCATGAAGGAATCGCTCCGGTATTTGTTATAGCCGAATGCACACACTGTGTTCTGGGAATGCAACAGCGTGTGTATCGCAGATTAAGTCCGCTGTGTTCCCAGAAATCATACGTACGTGTGCGCAGCCCGCCAACCCGCCAGCAATCGTTAGAGCAGCACATTTTATAAATACTCAGTAGGATCGTAAGTATTTTATTGCTTATATAGTCATTTTATCCCAGTTTTTTTGCGCAGCTACACTTATACACAGAAAACTATGTTATATATTATGCTTGGTTTGAGCTGTGATGTAAAGTGCTAAGTAATCTAAAAAAATGAGACGTTGAAATTGCTTAAACATTTTCTTATTTAAAATATCAAAATAATGTATTGAAAATTTAAAATGTTTCCAAATTGTTTAAACGTACTCTTGACATCTTTTTCGGATGATTCTATAACGGGAAAATTAAAAATAATAATTTGTTGCATTGCAGGTTGTCTCAATAAAATTTTGTGACCCGTTTCTCTGCGTAATAGAAAATGTATCCAAAATATATTTTTAAACTAAACTATTTATGGTTAAAAGGTTATATTCAATATTCCTATATCAGTTCTCAACTTATTTCATTCATAAACTTTGTCACAGGCCGGAAGATTAAGAATTTGCTGTTCTCATTTGATAGTTTCATAAGGGATATTTGCAGTGTGTTTGCATTGTCTTCCACGAACATTGAAAATATGAGATTGTTTTATGAATCTTTAAATCAAATATCAAACTGATGCCTGCAATAAACTTCGTGGTTGAAAGTGACCAGTTATTTACTATATAAAATAACTTGCTAATCAAAATTTCGATAAAAATATTTGTAAGCCAGGCCATTATGTCCTCGTGGCTAGCTGTTTGTCAGCGTGCTCGCTTTCCACTACGCGGCCCCGGGTTCGAATCCCGGTGAGGGAAGATTATAGTGTGCGTTACCCTTGCAATGTCCCAGTAATGTTGCTGCGTAACGATGAGAAAATGCACTTCTCAGGTTGAGAAGACCGGAATACGGCGTGGGTATGTCTACGTGCTAACCACACGTACCCCATTAACCCATGGCCACGAGGCAGGGACGTCGCTGGTGGGCCTGCGCCCGTTCACGGGCTGTTGCGCCAAGTAATACATACAGGACATTATATTTCAATGCCTTTTCTGTAATTCTCCCTCCATTCTACAACCCGTTCTCTCCTCTCCTGTCCAGCCCACCGGATGTCCCACGTAGCCATCCCCACAGTTACTGGCAACCTTTCGTCCCAACACGGTCAATCCTAGGGACTAGGGACTTGGGTCACGTAATGGCTTGGTCCACAAACTTCTTAACGCTTTAAAGATTTTTTTACCATAATTAAAACTTCAGTTGCTCTATTCTAACAGGGTAGAGATCAATACTTGTACTTTGGTTAGAATGATGGGAACAATTATGTGGGCGACATTGGTCACATCTCCGTAATATCAAGGATGACGACCTCCAACTTCGGAATCGCATTGCAAATCAAAAAAAAAATTACATCAAATTAAGTACACTATAGGAACTATCTCTGCCTGAAATGATATAAAATAGTAATTTTCAGATTGTTGGTTATTAGTAAATGTAATAATACAAATTGATTAACTTACACATGGAATACATGAAAATCAGCAATCATAGGAAATAGAATAATAACACACGTGCGTCTGACTTTCATATATATTTTCTGAAAGGGATTTCTAGTAATATTGACTAGATAGCAGCTCTAATCATGAAGCCACGAAGGAAGGCGGTATTAGGAACCAGAGGATATTTATGCCTCTAATCCGCTTGTTTTAATTCATTTTTTAATATTATATTTTTCTTAGGCGTGATAAAGTAAAATCGCCAAGTTGTGTAGTATTGATAAATATAATAGAGAAAAATAAAACACAGAAGTTAATTCTGTATAAATATATTTTATTTCGTTTTGTTTCAATTGTAGACTCTTGGACTTTTTTTGTTTTCACAATGACATACATTTCTTCAAGGTCTTCCTTTCGAGTTTGATTTCCTCGGGATTTCAATCCTCCTTTCTTGCGCGTTTGTGAAAAGAAACGTGATGGTATTAAAGAGGTAATACATGCCCATGTCGGTGAGGATGGCCATGATGATGGTGCACGTGACGTCGATTGTGAGGATGTTCATGATGATGGTGATGGTAATGGGGGTGAGGAAGATGTGTGCATGAGCATGGACGCGGCGGAGGGCGCGGACGATGGCAGTTGCAGGGTCCGTTGTGCAAAATGAGAAGAGCTGAAACAAAACAACTATTTTAAAAAATGGTTAACTTTGAATGCAGTATGATTAGGTTTACTGGCACAAACTCTCCACTATAACAGGTTCGGGCCTTAATGACAAAATATCTCTCGATCATTGGTTTTTAAGTCATTTCGAGTAACTTTTTTAAATGAAATTTTAGACATTGGAAGATTTCTTGAATACTGACATGTAACATGCTCATGTAATTTGCTGCCAAACGCATGAGCTTATATCTGCAGATTTTCTGACCTATAAGTTACCTTTAATAGAAATTTTAATAATCGCTCTCAGGTTTTCAAGTACATTGTTTTCCCTTTAGAATCCAAACCACTAAGTACGGTGACTCACGCAGTGCTGTTTACATTCATCAACATTGGGGGTCAGTGGGGCTTGCGATAAATTAAGCGTGCCTGGCCCGGCTCGCCGTCGCCATTGGAACACAGAGACGCCGCTCAAGTGGCAATCCCATAGTTTCATCTCCTGCTGTGCAATTGTCCAAATTCCGTACCACGACTGGACTAGGCTAGGCTTCCCGCCAAACAGCAGCGTTTGGGCCATGCATCGAGCACCGATGTGCCAATGAACAACAGTGGTGGACGATGCCATCATTTTTTTAAATTCCTCTTCACAGAAATTTAAAATTTGGTCCTTTATTATTGTCCGTAAAGAGAACATTAAGTTGTATCGTTGTGAGGAATGACTGTGGTGGGACGTATTACAGTGTTAGAATATCTTATAGTGATATCCTAGCACTGATGGGCCAGGAAATTTAGTTTTTACATCATATTTACCAGTCTTTGGCACATAGTATTATGTCAGTCATATATAATTTCCACGTGCCTCCGTTCCTAATACAAATGTATTTTTATCAGATGTTCAGCCTTTGTGATTACTTAGGAAAAGTAGATTCATTTAATTTAATGCATTGCAGAAAACGATTGATTTTAATGATCACAAACTACATTCCATAAATTAATGAGCATTTGTAACACAAATAATATGCATACAACCTGTATGCGGATATCATTTATCATCGAAATCTATACTCATTTACCTTTGAAATCCTAGAAACCAAAATGCAATTGAGATGCATCCAAATCACGAAAATGTCCATTTTTTTGAACTTCCTCTGGCCAATTCCGAAGCTTAAAGCGTGTTCGGCTGAAGCGATTCCCTGGTGATGGGAGATATCAGGAAAACTCCGCAACCCGAAGTGTAGGTGGAGCCCGGATTTCACCATCCAGCAGGAATGATCACCACCACCACCACCACCTCCCGCGATAACAACATGCACTACTCTTACGTCACTAATGAGCATAGCAGTTCACGCGCCGGAAACGCGAAATAATCGATCGATCTACTTCCTCTTGCGGTGGGGAGGGAAAAGAACGGTCGCCACTTACCCTCGCAGCGACTGGCGGCGAAGCGCTTCGCTTCGCAGAGGTTGGCGAACGTGGTCATGGGCGTGCGGCAGCCGACGGCACACACGGGCGCGTAGATCTTGGTGCAGAAGCGCGGGGCGGGCGTCTTGCCCGGGCGGATCACCAGGTAATCGTCTGCTTCGTCGCCGTTCGCTGCTCCCAGCAGGAAAGCCGCTCCTGCAAACGGCAAACGTGATCAGAATTCAATCTAACACAATTTTGGGTGTGCTTTCGTAAATACTCTGCACATGCGTGTATTATTTAGTGTATCATATTATTAGTATGTATTTGGCATTTTGGGTGGATAGTCCGACTTTGCCGGCCAGCGTACGGTGTTCGTTAAAGCTGGGACTTGAACCGACATGCGGCGAATAGTAATTGTAGTCACTACTAAGGATTTGTTTATTGTCGTACTTGTAATCTAAATAATTCGTGAAAATTTCATACATAGTTGTATGTTTGGTAATTAGATTATTATTATTATTGTTATTATTATTTTATTAATTAATATTATCAACTAAATATTAATAAAATTATTAATTAATTTTTATTCATTTGTTATTTAAATGTATTCCGTGTTGGTACATTCACTGTAATATCTCCATTTTTCAATATGAAGTATATTGGAAAATTACTCTTTTCCGTGAGATTCATCCAGAAAAATCAATATTCAATACTTTCACGAAACATTAACACAGGTTTCAAATTAGCAGTTTTCACCAGAGGGAGGAGGGGGCTTTCCAAGTTTGACAACAGGACGGTCTATGAAAGAATTGTGAAACGAATTCAACCTTGTTTAGTCAACACCATTTGAATTAATTCTCATGATCAATTAGTAATGATCTCAAGAGTGTCTTCCTGCCGAATCTCTGCCATTTGGGTTGCTTTATTTGAGTACATCATAAATACGGCCCCTAATATGGATTAATTTTATCTCAGGCATGGATTAATTAATAATTCTGTAACAGGGGACATTCAATTATTTAGAGGTTGGGACAACTCTTGGGAATTGCTCCCGTCAATTCGCACCCTGCATGAAGAATTGTGGGATGTGACTCATAAGTGAGAACACATACGTTATGTCCTCCCCTTTCGTCGTCTGATGGTCAGGAACACACTAAAAATACCCTTTAAAATGATGGTAATCATTTTAATTATAAAGGTTTTACGGGAATGTGTTCGACACTAAAAAAAACTAGTCGTTGCAACTGCGTCAATTACATCAATGTTTTGTCTTCTACGTAAATATGTTTGTCTCCGATTCTACTGCAAGGAGTATATTTGTATTGAAAAACCAAATATAAGGACTTCGCAAAAAACCCTCTGTACTCGCTCACCTTGTAGTCCTCGTAGGTTTGTTCAATACGTTTACAGTCTATTTCAAACAGCTCTAATGTAAATAAAGCGCGTTTTGCTTGTACCTTGAAATCAGCGCATAACTACATTCAAAATTCCAGAAATACGTATTCCTACAAGTCTATTTTAATTTTCATCCATTCGCAATAACTTTTGAGATATTTGCTATAGAAAATAAACAATTTTCGAAAACACTTCATTTCCTCACTTTTTTGATCAGCTGTGCTTTGCTTTGTTTGATGCATTTTCAGGTTACGTATTTTTAGAATAGAGATAATAAGAGTCGTTAACGGGTGGGCGGATTACTTTTAGATGGAAATGATTTTCATGAATGCTTTGAAGTTCTTCTAGGGTGGGAATTGCAACTTTATCTTGCTTATTATCGTCTACGAATGAAAAGAAACTAGCAATGTCGTGGAAAATAATGGTGAATAAACGAAATTGTAATGTTGCAATTTTTGTCATGTTAAATGACATTATTTATTTTCGTAGTAGTAAAATATATATAAATTATCAGTTATTTTTGGATTATAGATTTAATATAATCTTACCTATGAAGTCAGTTTGAAATAAGACTTAATAACTGTGGATGTCGAAAGGATCACTTTCGAAATACTTAATCATTATGGCTGCTGGTTACGCTAAGACCCACTGGATAAGCAATTGGTAAAATCAAGTTTATTATATTTACAATCACAATTTCCATAGTTTCTTTAACTTTCCAAAACGTAGTCAAGATAAAAAACTCATATGGCAAGATTTTCCGCAAAGAAATCATCTACTCTGATGAACAAATGCTGCTGTGAGATGTTCTTTGCTTTGCCCATGGACAGTGAGTGTAGCTATTAAGTTTGCAACAGGTTATGCAACGACTTTTATCTTTGCAAAGAATTTTAACTTTCATCGTCCAATAAGAAAGATATTTTCAAATAGAAATCGACAGTATTGTTGGTAACTTCTGTTACTCCCAATTATCTTATTAGTGTTGTTTCAGCCAGGAGGGCGATTTCCGAAAAACCTCGAGGCAGAACATCCCACACGTCATCGAACAATTTAACTGATCAGCAACTCTTCCGTTGAAATTTCCCCGCAAAAGGTATTTTCTTGTTTTCCAGCACTCTCGCATTGCTTTCCCCAGCGAATCAAACCATGAGTTGGTCTTCCTCGCAAACCAATTTTCCCATTACGTTTCCTCCTGGCGACCCATTTTTTCCACGATGTTTCATTAGGTAGTCCGTTCATTGCATTTCGGCTCAAACTAAATATTCTTATGTACGCGTTTTCCCGCGAACTTACCCAGCACGGCGATCACCAACAGTCTGAGCTGCGCGCGGGTCATATTGGCGGCGGTGGCGGCGACGTCTGTAGGAGCGCTGCACACCTTGGAAGGGGTCGTGCTGGCTATATAGGGCGCGAGGTCAGCAGGCGGCGGGCAGGGGTCTCGGGCGTTGGCCGGCCGGCCGGGTGGCGGCGGCGGCGGCGGACGTGCTCTGTCGGCGCTGCGTGTTCGCCGGCAAGGCCGCGGGCGCCGTCGCAGGGCACGCGTCGGGCGGTGCACGCCCGCGGGCGATAGCGACCCCCCACGCTGCCTTCCCCCGGCGCGCCGGTCCCGCAGCGGGCGCCGGCGGCGACGCCGTTGACGTAAAGGGCGTGTTTATGCGGAGGTGCTGCTGCGGCCAGACGTGGCTCGAAGCTCCCGGGCGGAGACGCGTGCCGTGACGGCCAAGGCCCTCGATTTCCACCTAGGGGATAGGGCTTCTTATCTCTTCTTATCCTCGACGTTCCGTGATGGCTTTCTGGTACACAAAATGAATTCAGTTCGCACTCCTTTGCAGATCGCACGTCCCCATTCAAGGTTTCAACCATTGCGTCATTCATCTTGTCAACGTTATGTTGCTTTCTGTGGATATTTTTCCTTTTGATTTGAACATTGGTTTCGCAACGTCAGATCGATCAGTTAATGTCTCACATTATAAATGAATAAGGAACACAGTAATATCTTTTTTATAACTCCAAATACTGTTCTAAAAGTATTTTATTATATAAATGAGGCATTTTTAAGAAATAAAAAGTATTGTGTGAATTTCTGAAGAAGGTGTATTTTAATGAAGTGATATATAATGCAGTACAAATAGGCTCCCAAAATATTTCAGTACTAATATATTTCTTTTTGCGAAGAGAGATGAAACAGTTCATTTGGAAGTGTAACCGTGGTTTGATTTTTGTTAATAAGTGATTATCAATGAAATGACAGAAACCAATTTCCATTACACAATAGTCATGCTTTACAGCAACTCCTACTCGCTCAGGATCGGTACATCGGAACATTGACAGCCAGATGGGGCATTTACTGGGGTTAAACAAATTTAAGGATATTGCAATGATTTTCAGGAATGCGAAATTATTTTCTCCTTCACCGGCTACCTGCTTTCTAAGTGCCAGTCCAAATTGAAACTTTGTTTTCATTGTAATTATGCTTATTTGAATTCCTTTCTTTCATTGATTGCTTTCTTAAATCTTCATTTGGTTCTTTATACTACTTCAATAATAACAACCTAGTATTTCGGTACTAACTCAGTGAGCAAGAGAATACAATTTGTGTCCCTATTCGACAACGAAATGCATTTGTTGGCCAGTCAATTAAGATAATCAGAAAACGACCAGTATTACACTAATTGTACCCACTACTATGTATTAGAATGTAAATTTAGTCATTATAACATTCAATTATTGCTGGGTCGAGTTTTTAGGTTTTTCTTTCTTTGATAATTCATAATTTATTTTTTTCTCAAATAAATCTCAATATAGTGTAAGGATTCTCTGCACTTGTGTCAATGTTAAAATAAATAATTAAAATTAAATGTAGTCGATATTGCACCCTAGCTGTTCCATACCAAAATTTGCAATTATATTGATTCATTTATAACAATTGAAATTAATTTTAAGTCGTTAAAAAACTAGTTATTCATGTTCTCACTGGTACGGCGAGGCCAGACCCACCTCTGGATCACTTGACTTAGAGTATACTGTTGAGAAAAGAGTGAAGTCCTACTCGGAGAGGTAGCAAGATGTAACGCGTTAGCGCACGGACGACCCACCGAAAAAATCTAGGAAATTAACAATGCGGCAAAGTAAACTTTTAATTTATCGAAGATGAAAACTGTTCTCTAGAACATAGCAGTTAATCCAAGTAAATGCGATTTGTTTCGCTTTCTGATCATTTTAATTGATTGATCAATTTCAGTACAGAATAGGAACACAAACTGTATTCTCTTGTTACCCGGAAAATTAGTTTGTTTTCCTAAACCAATGCAGAAACAAATGGAAGTGTATGTTCAAAATCAATGCAAGAAAGCAATATAAATACGAATAGTTATATCGCTACACCTTTTTCGCCTTCCTGCAACAATTGCGGAAAATATGGCATCTAACGAAATGTAAAAATCATTATTCCCTACAGTTCTTTCCCTATATTAGCTATGCGTATAACATGGTATTCCTCTGTTTGAATTCTTCAGAATGTCAGTAGAAACAATATTTTCTTCCATTTAAAAATCAAAGTTATGTAAATATCTCAAACATGTAAAAAATGCCTAATAATATACGACTGTATGCTACTTCTCCATTCTTTAAATTCTAAAACACCATACTGCAAATTGCATCCTGATACCTCAAATCTCTTCTAAAATATTTGTTGTAGTTTATTTAGGTTTTCATCTGTATAAATTTGATCATTTCAGATGGACAGTATATTCTCAATTGTAAAGAAAGCGTTTTCAATTGGTGAACATGTTTCTTGACGCTTAAACATGTTTAAAAATTTTAATTATTTAAGGTCATCAGGAAATGAGTTGTAAAATAACATACATGTATTATATGTGTATTCAGTTCTGCGAGTTCTTGAGACTGACACCTGATGAATATGATTACGTGCATTGTTATTATAAAAATCTATACTGTATGATGCGCTTCACATTACATAATATAACATTTAATTGCCTTTCCACATACATACTTTGTAAATAGTTTCTTGAGCATTGCCCTCATGCCTACATCGGGGCCACACCAGACAGAACAACGTACGGTCCGTATCTACTCCAAATGTGACTACAGACAATGACCATCAGTTGTGGCAGATCCTAGGGATTTAATTCTGACGGCGTATTTTGCATCAAGCTAAATAGCTAGTGAAATGCAGCCGTTGTCTAGATAAAAATACTACCGTCTAGCTTCTCTGATCGATAGTTTTCCGTGTTTTCTTCTACCAACACCAGGCGAATGCCGTAGCAGTACCCTAGCAAACAGACCTTGCACAGTGTGCGCTCTTTTCTTCCACATGGTTGTGTCCTCCGCTCTCCTCACACATACAGCACCAAATGCAATTACACTTGCATGTACGTTGCTACAAATATGAAACAACTCCTGGGGCTTAGAAGATTCCCTCCCTGAGAGAGATCTCTGGTGGGGGGGATAACCCAAGCCGACCAGTAGGAGCATCACCACCGCCTCCGGGAATGTAACATACACTACACTTACGCCACCCTAAAACAGGCGCTCGGAAGCTCTGCATTATCAGCTAATGAAATTCGAAATGTCTTCAAGAACACCGACTTCTGCGGAGGTCTCTGCTGAATTTGCCGTGCTGTGTCGTGTACTATCACTGCTTCAGTCTGCACTGTCGCCGTCTATTTGGTCTTCACACTTATCCCTTTTGTCCACGCCCCTCGTGGTACCCGCTGATCCCTTCGCCCTGTCGATGGGCCAGACTCGATGGACCCGCTCCCTAAAACACTTACCCTGCACGCCGTTCGTCACTTTAACCTTAACGCCGAGCTCTTTCACAATCTTCTCCTTGGTGTTAACTCCTAGCTTTTCCCTTGACCTTATCACAGCATCTCCAACCTTTACTTCTGTCTTGACTTTCAGCTTCTCCGTAGACTTCTCTCTCTCTCTCTCTCTCTCTCTCTCTCTCTCTCTCTCTGCTGATGTCATCTGCACTGATCTCGGTTGGACGGCTGTGCCTCCCCAGGCCGCCTCTTAACAAGGCACCGGAGACGAGGCGGATCCGTTCCCTTCGCTCAGACCGGCTAAAATGCCGGAGAGACCACGGTTGGCGCTGCTGCATCTCTGGGAGGACCTAAAGTTCGAGTTCTACGGTGGCAGATCATCAGCATTAGCTATAAATCTTGTTGGAATTTAGTCGCTGCTTTGAGGAGAATTCTAGCCCCCGGTTTCTCTGATCGGTATTTCCCTAGTTTCTCTTATCATTGACCAGGGAATGCCGGAGCAGTACCACAACAAACGGGCCACGGACTGCGGGCCATCTTCCCTTCCTCGTCCTTGTTCTTTGGCTGGGGTTTCTTCGGCAAGGGTATTGCCCAGCTGGGAGGGGTGATACCAGGAGGACTCCGCCCGTAGCGTGAACACGGAGACTGCTGGTGTAAAATATCGCCGCGACTCCTCGGATATGGAGTACGGAATCGCGGTCGGAAACGCGGTTGGTAGAAGACATGCGGTCGCCGGCTTCCTAGGGCAGAGATTCCTAAAGTTTTACTTTCATTTACCCCTTTTAAGCTAAGTATTTTTTTTCAACGACCACCTTACGTTTTCTCTATAATATAAAGAATCTATAATCATGACACAAAGAATTGCGCATTGATGCTTTCAAGGTAATAATTTCGTACACCACTATTCTCGTAAATATATCGATTTTAAGTAATCGAATAGGCTTCTTATCTTGAATAGGTGAGTTTTTAATCTTCGTTTTATTGCAGTGGTTACAAAATGTTGAATAATTTTTAAGAACTGGCCGTAACATTTCTCCAGTGCGTACTGCGCCGAGTGCGTGCTTGCCCCTTAGAGAATGGTTGTGAATGCATAGTTACAATGTTCTGAGATTTCTAAATATCGTACCTTCCCGATGAACTACTTTCACGAAAGGAGATGGGCGAATTTGTAATTTATTTTTATTGTTTTTTGCTTTATAACAGAAAAAATGTAAGTTGATTATTTTTTGTAATCAATGGGATCTTGTTGAGGCACCGATTCATATTTGGCTGTGAACCGCAAATCAATCCCTTCATTATCATTTTTTCTCGTAAAAAATTCATCGACACCAGGGGGTCCCCGTTTGGAAACCCCTGGCTTAGGGTCTCTCTCTATATTTGGTATCGTATCGTTGCTCTGACGCTACCTTTGTATTAATAACTGCTGCAAAATAAAATTCATAATATCCTGGATCTCGCCCACAGTGTACGGATAATTACAGTTTTTGTTTCGTTATAATTGTGCAGAAGTTAAGAGGTAAACGACCAAAGTAAACATGACACCTAAACGCATTATTCTTCTTTCGTGCCGCAATGGAATAAAAGAGATTTGCGAGCTGTTTCGTAACCTCAGAGGTACGCCACCGCTCGCCGATGTTTTTAATTCCAACAATTTTCAGGCGTTTCATGTAACAGGAATATAACGCGGCGATATCGCGAAACAGTAACCGCAGGGAGATGATGAGTAGTGCCGTACTCGTTTGCCTAATGTAGACGAAAGAAGACACGTGCTTCTATGTGGTAACTCTTTTATTTAAAGAGCAATTGGAGCATTTAGAAATTCATATGTCGGTCTGAGTGCCCAATTATCTGCTCTGAGAGATCAGTGACCTGCAAACGAAGTCACCTGAACACCTCCTGGAGAACCACAGTAGTGATTGAGGCGCAAAGGAATGGTGAACGTTGTCATGTGGAAAGCGCACGTGACCTTTTTTTAACTTGAAGTAAATATTATTTAAAGGCTATTCACCAGTTTTAGCTGCCAAATTTTTCTGGAAGAATTTTTTTAAATGATGAAAACTAGCGATTTTTTGTTTGCTACACCAGTCAAAATCCTGAACAAGCATTCTCTTGTTAGATAGAATTAAATATCTGCATTCACATTAAACTATCTCTATATCTATTTTACTTTCTTCCTACGGAGTAGAGAAAATGTTCCGCGAAAAAAAGCAAATTTTAGGAGGAATTTTATCACAGGGCCCTGGTAACGAAAAAGTGGGTAAATCCAGTTGCAAAATTTAGAAACATTTGGTTTTTTTTAGAAATTTGCTGGGAAAGTCAGAAAAGAAATTAAGCTTAACTCGACAGAAAAATACTGTGCTGTAATAAAGTGCTGAGGTCTCGAGTCTTGGAGACTGGTTGCTACTCATTAACAACTCTCAGTTACAACAAGAAATCATTTCTATACTTAACGGTATTGTTCAAAAGTGAAAAGAAAAAACTGACATTTCATTAAAATCCCTTCTTATATGAATTACAGTACCACACAAGTCGACAGTGTAGTCGGGAATTTACTTAGTCTTGTTTGAGTGAGGACGACGGAGCACTGGCGGAGGTACACTATGTGATCAAAAGTATCCGGACACGTCGAAAATTGTGTTATGGCGTTATTGTGTTTTTCATAGAGCGGGCTTAGAGATCCCTTGTTGTTTTGTGTGGAACTATCACGACACAGGCATACCTTGATGTTTTAAACACCTTCTTGCTTTTCACTGTTGAAGAGCAATTCGGGGATGGCGATTGCATTTTTCAACACGATCGATCCCTTGATCATTCCACACGGCCGGAGACGGAGTTGTTACACGACAATAACATCCGTGTAATGGACTGGCCTGCACAGAGTCCTGACTTGAATCCTACACCTTTGAACTACTTTGAACACCTTTGGGATGTTTTGAAACGCCGTCTGTGTGCCAGATCTCATCGAACTACATCCATACCTCTCCTCAGTGCAGCACTCCGTAAAGAATGGGCTGCCATTCCCCAAGAAACCTTACAGCACCTGATTGAAAGTATGCCTTGGAAAGCGGAAGCTGTAATCAAGGCTGAGGGTGGGCCAACACCATATTAAAATTCAGCATTACCGATGAAGGGCACCACGAGCTGGCAAGTCATTTTCCGCCACGTGGCGGAATACTGTTGTGCACATGGTGTACTTGCAAGAAAAAAAAACCGCAAGGCAACATCTATCACAGTCTCAGTATTAGCGGGATAACAACACCATCACCCTGGCTAGAACGTGCAATACACTCACGTGAATACAATAGCAGTTGAAATAAAACTAATTGAGTTAAAATTCAGCGTTGACAGTGTTTGCATCCTGTTAACGCGACGAGTCAACGCTCTTTGTTGGCGCGTGGAGAGCGGCGACGATTGCGAGTGAGGGGGGGGGGAGCAGCGAAGGCGCCCGCCAGGTGTTGCCGTCGCTCATCATGAGCGGGCCCGGCCCCGCGAGCGCTCGCCGTGATGAATGGTGCGCGCTACGCGGAGCCAGCAGATCGCTTGCGCATTCGTGGCGCACAGTGGGTCCTAATGCACCGGAAGGTGCAATGTCTCTTTCGGGCGCAGCAGTATTTGCACAACTCAATAAAAATCTGGTGTTGCGATAAATGAGTTAAAAGTTTTATTGAAATGCGTAATTCTTTCTGTCACACTTATTCCATTTGTTGGTGGAATACTGTGTTGTAAGATATGCTGCTGGAAGGTTGAGCAAATTGCAGTTGTAGATAGAGGATTAACTCAAAATTCATATTTTTGAGGTTGTGCCAATATTGCTGTCCACGAGGGATATGAGAATTCTGATCACGTCTCAGGCCTTGCGTAAGAGCGCATTTTAAAAGCTGTCAGCGTAGCTGTTTGATATTAGGGGAGATTGGGGCTGTTCAGCACTTGAATCCCTTCATCGCCCACGTAGCATCAATAATCTCTAGCGTTGTGTCACGTGTTATTCACGATCTACCAGACTACCCACAAAAAGCCAAGATTGATCAGTTACAGACGGTGGAACTGTGATTTCGAATGTGTGTTAGAGATTCTAGAGTGAATAATTTTGTAATTCATTGGCTTTCTTCTCTATTTTTGGGAAAGAAAGAATTTGTTTTTCTTCTTCTTTGCTTCTTCGTTGCATTTAATGAAGATCTTGACTTTTTTAGTTTTGAGTTCCATTGTCCCCTCTAGGAACATCTTTAATGAAATATGCTGTTCGGGGCTACGTGGCACTCTTTAATTGGGGTAACGTCCACCTGTCAACCCTTCCCGTACTCTACCTACCAATCTTAACTACAAAATAAAACGACTTTGCTGAAACTTAGATCTGTTACCTGATGTATTCAACTAGGGTTAAAGAACTAGTGGTGGCCACAGATTTGGAGAGTTTTTTTGTTATTTTCTCATAATTCTTGAGTTACACGACTTATTTGGTTACGTGAAACTAAAAGGGCAATTAATGTACCTCTATCCAAAGAGAAACTTACCTCTAATTGATAAGTTTTGATTTAATCAAAGTTTTAATTTATTTTCAAATCTTGATATTATTCCACTAGCGTCCAAATTGCAAAATTTTGGAAGTGATCAAATGTTGGAAACAGTTCTACCATCCACTACCTCCACTACCTCAACTATATTCTACCTCCAATTACCATGCCTAAGACAAAAAAGTCTAAAAATCACCCTTCAAGTTACATCATTGCAATGCCAATATTAATGAAATGTTTTCAGCTTATTTTTATTTTCTAGCCCTTAGTTTGTAAGAAGAGAAAATATTGTAATCCTGCGCTGGCAAACAGTGAAATTTCCAAAAAAATCTTATTGCCGGACCCTGGTAACCAAAAGTGGATAAATCTTCCGAAACAAGCAAGAAGCATGTTTTAGAAAAAAAGAGATAAAAGAGTGATGGAATCAAATTAAAGACTGATTTTTAAATACTTAATTTTAAAAGTACTGAAGCAGCTGAAAATACCATTTGGGGGCTGTTTTGTAAGATCAAACGGTAGTAATTTTTTGCCAGATTATTTTGGAAATTGAACATTGAAAAGTAGTTCTTTATGACATTGATTTATTACCCCTCTCTCACGGAACAAGTGTGACAACATACTAGTGCCAACTTCCTCCAAAACTCTGCCAACAAACCCCACTCGTGGAGTTGGTTGACTTACCTTGACAACTGTG